TGAATTACGGACTCTGGACGATGTATCTCATGATGTCAAAACCATTCATTCTTCTGACAATTTCATACCACTTATAACTCCCTATTTGCAAAAATTTGTTTCTGGAATGGATAATGTGAAAGAACTTGTCCGTCTAGAACAAGAACGTCATAAGCGTTATGCTGACCAACTACGACGTCCTGCCCCTGATTATGAACCTGGAACTTTGATTCTGTTGAAAACACATACCCTAAGTAGTTCATCCAAAGGTCATTCTAGTAAACTCGTTCCTAAGAGAGATGGCCCTTATAGAGTTCTCTCCGAAGTAACTCCTTGTACATATCTAATAGCTGCTGTGGATAACCCTGATGTGTCTATAGGAAAGTACCATGTATCTGAAATGACACCTTTCATTGGAGGAGAAGACACCTCTCCTCTGCTGCCAAAAAGGAAAAGAGGACGACCTCGTACGACTGGTTCCTGCCCGAGGACGTCTGCAAGAACCAGAGGGGGAGAGTTGTAACGCTACTGAGCTCGAATGCTTCCGGCTTGCGTGCGCTTCGCCGGCTGGCTGTAGCCGCAGCGAGGGAGAGCTGGCAGTCTACTCTGAACTGCGGAGACGTGCAGACGTTGCCTTAAGCTGTTCGCTAATTTTTATTACTTTTGCTTATATAATGTAAAGTCTTTAGTGAAATTCAAATAAAGTGTTCTAGTATTTCGTTCATCAGAGCAACTATATTAATCAACCCCATTTGAATCTATCAAAACCCGTTATAAATTTAAATATAAATACAAGCACACACACAGTAAGAGGATAGCCAAACTAAGGATCAATTAACACATATTATTTACTTTTATGTAAGTAAACAAAGTGTATTGTCAAGCAAGAAACCAAGATATTTAATTTCAGTGACAAATTCAATATTTTCATTAGCGATAGTTAAATGACAACCATTAATGTCAATATTATTATACCTATATTCGGTTGTGATTATCATAGCTTTTGTTTTATTAACATTTAATTTAAATTTGTTAACTTGCAGGTATTTATTAACACACTTCATGGTTTCGTTCATAGTATTTATACACTGAGTTAAACTATGACCACTACATGCTAAAAGAGTATCATCTGCAAATAAATTAATAAATTCAGAATTAACAAATAGTGTAATATCGTTTATGTAGATAAGAAATAATAAAGGCCCAAGCACACTGCCTTGAGGAACACCAAGATCATTAATACATTTGTCAGATACTGATCCACCAATTCTTACTCGCTGTACTCTGTCAGTCAAATATTCTGTTAACCAATCAAGAACAGTGCCATCAACTCCATAACCTTGCAACTTTTTAAGTAGAATATTCCTGTCAATGGTCTCAAATGCTCTCTTTAAATCGAGAAATACAGCTACCGTAAATTTATTATTATCAATGTTGTATTTAAATTTCGTTAATGAAAGTTACAAAGCCGTTTCACATGAATATTTTTTACGAAAACCTGATTGGTTACTAAATAAAATATGATTCATTTCAAAATACTCTAATAGCTGATTGTAAACTGCTAATTCCAAAACTTTTTCAAGAGATGGTAAAGTATTTATTGGTCTAAACTCACATGCTTTTGTTGTGTTAGGAATTTTTGGTATTGGAATAATAGTACTTGTTTTTAATTTGTTAGGAAATTTCCCATATTCTAGGAATACGTTAATAAAATTTAAAATTACATGACCTACAGAATTCACAATATGTTTGAATAATCTAGAATTTATAATATCATCAACACTACACTTATTTTCTAAACCTTTAACAAGAATGTTTAATTCAGACATAGTAAGCAATTTAAATTTACAAATACCACGATACAAATTGTAGTTTATGTTCTGCCATGTAGTACCTATATTTCCAATACTTAAAGCTATATCTTCAATACTATTTATAAAATATGCATTAAAGTTTTTAGCTAAACTAACTTCATTATTACATGTAATAGTATGGTATCCAAACTCAAATTGTACATAATCGATTTTAACCTTTTCATTACTATTGACCAATTCTTTAATAGTCTTCCACATAAGTTTAGGATTACTGGTATGTCTGTCAATTTTTTCAAAATAGTACCTCTTTTTCTTTACTTTTAACAAATTAACCACATTATTTCTTAACCTCTTATAATTATTCCAGAGAAAGTTTTTATTTGCCTCATTAGATTTTTTAAAATCTTTATATGCAGAATCACGATTAATGACTCTGAGTCCCCATAACTCCGCCACTGATTGCTTGCGGGACTTCTACTTCTATAGAAAAATGGTATCTTATAACAAGATGTGGCATGCCAAATTTGGCTGAAATAGCCTTCTTCATTTAGAAGTTATTTAAAAAATTCGAATTTTTTTAAAAATCTTTTAACGCCCTATATTTCGAAAATGAAGCGTCTCTGGAAAAAAATTTAGACTTGATTTGTTTCTTATTTTTTTATGAGGAATATCTCCTTAAAGTTTGTCGACTTAATCCTGAAACACCCTGTATTTTTAAGTTTCAAAGTCAAAACTAAGAATCCGTTGAAAAAAAAAAACGCGAAATCGATAAAGAAATGAGATAAGATCGTGACAAGTATCGATATCGCCTTCAAAACTTACCCGTTTTCCCATCGTTTCTTTACATTCCCTTATTCCTATTATCGAAGTAGTCCATGATTTGAGAGTGACCTCTACAGATTGCGAGCTGCAGTGCCGTGCGACCATCTTTATCTCTAATGCTGCAATCTACACCCACTTCAAGAAGGAATTTGAATGCGTCCAGGTGACCAATCATGGCAGCAAGATGCAACGGNTATAACTATATCACGCTCGTGCGTCGTATATTTCATTTTGCAACTAAGGCGAAAAAATAAAAAAAATCCAGGTTGCAAATTTGAAATTTAAAAAAAAATTGATAGATTTCAATGTATTATTATGAAATGTACCATGAAAAAAAATCAGTGCGATTGTGGAAGATGCTCGAGATCGTCCAGACTAATAATAAATTAACTAATTACACAGCCCCACAAAAAAAAGTGGCAGGTTTTGGGGTCGCTGAATCCGAATCCGGTGCCCGTTTTTTAGCTCTGATTTAAGGTCAGTTCAAGGTTAAATGTAGAAAATCAATTGTCAACAACCTAAACCTATGTTTCTATTTTTCAACGTATACATCGTTTTGGGGTCACCAAATCCGAATCGGTGTCCGTTTGACGCGATTAGCTCTGGTTTAAGGTCAGTTCAAAGTCAAATGTTGAAAATCAATTGTCAACAAACTAAACCTACGTATCTACACGTTTTTGGAATCGCCGAATCCGAATCCGGTGTCCGTTTAACTCGATCAGATCTGAAGTTCAGTTCAAGGTCAAATGTAGAGAATCAATTGACAACAAAGTAAATCTACATATCAATAAGTTTTTGGGGTCGCCGAATCCGAATCTGATGTCCGTTTGACTCAATCAGATCTGGGTTGAGGTCAGTTCAAGGTTAAATGTGGAGAATCAATTAAAAACAAAGTAAACTTATCATATCTATACGTTTTGAGGGTCGTTGAATCCGAATCTGATGTCCGCGATCAGGTCTATTAAATACCTTCTAATAGAAATAGATCAATCAATATACGAAAGATACTTATATAAATATTTTAGTTTTAAATCTATGTGAAAAATTTGATTGGGTTTGAGCAGAAAGGTTTCACCAAGATATTAAAGAAGGGAGAAATTTGGGTGGCAATGAAACTATCACTAATATTGCTAGTGATACTAGTGATGACGAATATCACGTTGTGAAAAAGACAGGAATAATATTACAAAAAAAAAGTAAATGAAATTTGGGACTGGCAGAGAATGAAGCAGAGTTCCTAATATCATGGCTTAAAAAATAGTAAGCAAGCCGGAAAAGTGAAAACTTTTTACTATCAGTATAGAAATAAGGAATATTTTTCTAACGATGAAGAATTTTCCTTAGGTTACTACAATGATATTGTTGGATAAATCACTTCAACATGGATGTTATAAACCTAACGCACATTGAAACAAGAGTGTCATATTTTGAGGATAGTTTTACATAGGATCAAATACGAACAACATAAATGGATTTACATTTGACCTTGAACTGAACTTAAACCAGATCTGATCGAGTGAGACGAACACCGGATTCGGATTTGGCGACTCCAAAAAGGTATAGATACGTAGGTTTAATTTGTTGACAATTGATTTTCTATCATTTGACTTTGAACTGACCTTAAACCAGAGCTAATCGCGTCAAACGGACACCGGATTCGGATTCCATGACCCTAAAAACGTATAGATACATAGGTTTATTTTGTTGGCAATTGATTTTCTATATTTGACCTTGAACTGACCTTAAACCAGAGCTAATCGTGTCAAATTGACACCGGATTCGGATTCAGCGACCCCAAAACCATATGGATACCATGGTCTTGTCTTTCGGACCTGCCACTTTTTTTTGTGGGGCTGTGTAATTAGTTAATTTGTTTATAAGGCCATAACTTGTAAACTATTCAATTTACCGATTCCAGATTTCGTGAATGATAGGATGCGATGCCAAAACGTTCTGGTAATAATAACGCAGTTTATAAATGTTTAATTCAAAAATCATAAATAAACTTCTTCTGTTGATAACTTTTGAAGTAATCAATATTTTTTGACGCTCGAGGGCTAGTTTTGTAGGTCTTTTGAAGACGAAAAAAAAAGTTATAAACGAAAAATTATACAATTAACCACCCTGTAAACAATCTTCCCGACATTTTTATTACTGTGGAAATTAATATGTTATTGTACATAATATTTAGCATCTATAGTGATATATTCAGCTTGCCGAAACAAAAAGTCGCGAAATGGTCATTTCCCAGCTTATTTTCCTGGCCTAATATTTTTAAGTTTCCAAGTTAAAACTAGGAATCCGTTGAAAAAAAAACGCGAAATCGATAAAGAAATGAGATAAGATCGTGACAAGTATCGATATCGCCTTCAAAACTTACCCGTTTTCCCATCGTTTCTTTACATTCCCTTATTCCTATTATCGAAGTAGTCCATGATTTGAGAGTGACCTCTACAGATTGCGAGCTGCAGTGCCGTGCGACCATCTTTATCTCTAATGCTGCAATCTACACCCACTTCAAGAAGGAATTTGAATGCGTCCAGGTGACCAATCATGGCAGCAAGATGCAACGGCGTGCTATTATCGTNGATACAAATTGTAGTTTATGTTCTGCCATGTAGTACCTATATTTCCAATACTTAAAGCTATATCTTCAATACTATTTATAAAATATGCATTAAAGTTTTTAGCTAAACTAACTTCATTATTACATGTAATAGTATGGTATCCAAACTCAAATTGTACATAATCGATTTTAACCTTTTCATTACTATTGACCAATTCTTTAATAGTCTTCCACATAAGTTTAGGATTACTGGTATGTCTGTCAATTTTTTCAAAATAGTACCTCTTTTTCTTTACTTTTAACAAATTAACCACATTATTTCTTAACCTCTTATAATTATTCCAGAGAAAGTTTTTATTTGCCTCATTAGATTTTTTAAAATCTTTATATGCAGAATCACGATTAATGACTCTGAGTCCCCATAACTCCGCCACTGATTGCTTGCGGGACTTCTACTTCTATAGAAAAATGGTATCTTATAACAAGATGTGGCATGCCAAATTTGGCTGAAATAGCCTTCTTCATTTAGAAGTTATTTAAAAAATTCGAATTTTTTTAAAAATCTTTTAACGCCCTATATTTCGAAAATGAAGCGTCTCTGGAAAAAAATTTAGACTTGATTTGTTTCTTATTTTTTTATGAGGAATATCTCCTTAAAGTTTGTCGACTTAATCCTGAAACACCCTGTATTTTTAAGTTTCAAAGTCAAAACTAAGAATCCGTTGAAAAAAAAAAACGCGAAATCGATAAAGAAATGAGATAAGATCGTGACAAGTATCGATATCGCCTTCAAAACTTACCCGTTTTCCCATCGTTTCTTTACATTCCCTTATTCCTATTATCGAAGTAGTCCATGATTTGAGAGTGACCTCTACAGATTGCGAGCTGCAGTGCCGTGCGACCATCTTTATCTCTAATGCTGCAATCTACACCCACTTCAAGAAGGAATTTGAATGCGTCCAGGTGACCAATCATGGCAGCAAGATGCAACGGCGTGCTATTATCGTTATCTCTAACATTTAAATCTGTACCCAGACCACGAAGGAACTTGACCACGTCCAAGTGACCAGCCCAGGCAGCCAGATGCAGCGGCGTGCGGCCGTTGTCGTCCCCGATATTGACGTTACCGACGAGATTCACTAGAAATTTGACAGTTGCCAATTGACCTTCCGCGGCAGCCAAATGTAGCGGCGTGCTGCCGTCGCTATTTGCAATATTGGAATCTGCTCCCGCTTCAAGAAGAAACTTGACTGTGTCCAGTTGGTCATTCTTGGCGGCAAAATGCAACGGTATATGGCCATTGCCGTCCGTGATATCGACGTCGCCGTTTAGTTTGACGAGAAATTCGACAATATCCAACCGACCCCTCCTAGCGGCTAGATGCAGTGGCGTTCGGCCGTAATTATCTCTAACGCCGAAATGTACGCCTAATTCGACAAGGAATTTAACCGTGTCTAAGTGACCATTCCACGCAGCGAAATGCAGAGCGCTGAGGCCTTTGTGATCTCCAATATTTAAGTCTGCGCCCATCTCGTGAAAGTATCTGATTGTGTCCAAATAACCGTAAATGGCAGCTAGGTGTAGCGGCGTGTGGTGGTTGTCGTTTTTAACGTCGAAATCAACACCCAGTTCAAGAAGGAATTTGACCGTGGGCAAATGACCGCTCGAAGCAGCAAAATGCAGTACAGTGCCACCTTCGATGTCTGTTACATTGAAATTTGCGCCCAGTTGACGAAAAAACTTGACCGTGTCCAAGTGTCCTCTGCTGGCAGCAAAATGAAGCGGCGTGCGTTGGTCCATGTCCCTGATATCGACGTCAGGGCTGAAATCTATCAGATATTCTACGATATCCAAGTGACCTTTAATCGCAGCCAAATGCAGTGCCGTACGCCCGCTATAATCTGCGCTGTTGATTTTTGCTGCTTGCTGGACAAGGAACCTCACCATTTCGAGATGGCCGCCGCTGGCGGCGTGATGCAGCGGCGTCTTCCCAAACATGTCCCTGATGTTGATTCCAGCCTCTCGAGTAATAATCCTCATAAATAACAGTACATTTTCCTTCCTCTTCTTTTTGTTAGTTCGAATTTTTCGTATAAGGGCTCGGGAATCGCTTCTCTTGTCATCGAAAACGTTGCTCGTCAAATCTGCGATGTTAATTTCTTTGTCTCTGACAATCTTGAAATTTACGCACTTGAGGACGAGTTGCAGAATTGCGATGCAACCCTCTTCCGCTAATAAATGGAAAAGTTTATAATTGTTCGTCCAGCAACATCGATGACATGCATGGGATTGATATTTCTTGAAAATTTTCGAAGATACAGAATCGCCGGCCTTGTTTAAGAATTTATCAAGGAAACTGCGGATAACCATATCTTCCGGGAGTTGTAAAACTTTGCATAAGAAGAACTCTTGAAATTTTATATTTGGACTGCGCAACTGAGCTTGCAATTCGTGGACTATGCCTTCTGCTGCAAAATATTCGGCGAATGTCCTGTGTATAAACCGAAGTTCGTCTCTTGATCTCTGCACGATTCCTATCTTTAGTATGCTCTCGTTTATATCCTTACACCTTTGTTGATAACACGAGAAAAGCCGACGATCCTCTTTATGGAAAACCACTTCTAAAGCGAGTCTTCTGTGGTAAATAAGTGATTCACGGAATTGCTCGATCAGCGCCATATTCGCCGCCGAATTCCCGCTAGGATTTCCTTTGTATATGTAGATGTCTCTTTTTTTCTCAATAAATATGTGGTATAACTCTCTAATTTCCATTTTTTCGGGCAGTTTCGGTTTTTCTCTAGTTTCCTTTAAAAACTCCTTGCACCCATCCCAATCGGATGACTTATTCTGTTTTATGCTTTCTTGGAAAATCTCCGCAAGCATTCTTAATTGGAGAGGGACCGCGGTAAAGTCATTTTCCTTGTAATGATATTTCTTTGTCCATGACGACATTCTGCTTATCAGAGCCCTAGCATAACATTCACACTTTCCTCTATTCTCGCCATTTATATCCAGATTATACATCCAATAACTAGTAAGAAAGTCGACCTGGTTCTGTTCCGTGAAAGGTTGCAAGACAAACGGCTTCACTTTCAAAATCGCTTCCAATTCTGGGACCATGTGAGGTCTTGTAGTAATGAAGAGTTTCGCGAAATTAGCTGCTTGTAGGCACTGAGTCAGCATGCTAAGGACGAGTCCCGTATAGTCGGGGCTGATCTCGTCTATCCCGTCGAGCATAAGCACGACTTTCTTGATCGAGGAGAACACAAACTTTTCTAAGTGGTTCGTCATTTTCGTCGCATTTTTAGAATTCAACAGGTCCATTACACTTATGGTTTCCCGTCGATTAGCTAGCACGTCTCTTAAGAAGCTAGAGTACCTAGTGAGTTCAATTTTAATCACCCACAAGTGAGGATTCTTCTCTTTTATAGCCGCTGCCATTTTGGTAAGGACAGTGCTCTTCCCAGTTCCTGCACCGTCCGAGATAAGTATCACCTCTTGGTTTACGTCATGAGTGTTCATTTCTGGAAAAGTCCCTTCTTTCACCTTGTTAGTACTATATCCATATTCATTTAAATGTGGTTTTGCTTGTTGCAATTCGCAAGTGCTTTGTTCAATCCTACTCTTAAATATTTGTGTTTTAAAGGTGCGAGCTATGTAATATCGAGAGTTGCTTTCGTCTAAATCTAAAAGCCGTTCGCCCACTTTTATTTCTTTCTTTCTAATTAGCATTTCTAGAATTTCAGAATTTATAGCCTTCCTCCAATCCTCATTTGTTTGTGTTTCTAATAGTTCTTCCAAGCTGATCTGCTCTCCTTGAAAAATTATGTTGTTCTGTTCTACTAACCTGTCCTGGCATTCACCTGAAAGATTTTTTAACGTCACTGATTCACCAACTTGAAAAATATCGTTTAGTCCGAATTGCCGACATAGTTTACTGTTGTGTTCGGCAACCAAAATGACTTTCTTATAGCTGTATTTCTTTAGTATATCTTTTAATGTACTACTTATTTCCTTTATCGCGGTGTCTTGAGTAAATTTGACCCCAATTATAATTAAAAAGGTGTAGCGGGGAACTGCGAATGCATTTATGACGTGTTTTTGCACCTCGATGTCATCGTTAGGATTGACATACAATTTTTTGCCTTTATCTTTATGCAGTGCATCGAAAACCTTCAATGCCTGTAACAGATGTCTTCCCTCGGAATGGACTTGGAAAATTCTTTCTGGATCAGTAAAATTAAAACTATTTTGTCTAAACGACACGTTGTAGTTTTTCAATTCTTCGCAGTACTTGTCACTTTTTATTTCGCTAAACATGGCTTTCGCTCGTTCCTCTGTTAAATATTCCCCCTTTGGTTGTTTGAACCAATTTTCTACTTTCTTATATAACTCTTGCGAAGAGACCTTACGATATAAACCGGAATTGTTCAAGCGTAGTAATAACTGTTCAATAACTTTGTCTAATTGGCCTCCACTAGGATAATTTGAAAAAAATTGGAAATGATTCAGAAAATCCATCATGTTTGCCTCTGTTACTGCTGCCTTGTCGATGCTTTTGTCACGTAAATTTTTATGGAAGTAAACCTCCGCACTAGCTTTTAACTCGGGCAAGATGTTTTCATTAAAAGTATAAAAGGGACAAAAGTTCCCTTCGTAGTGCAGCATGCTGCTGGCACTTACACAATGACGTTTAAAACAGTTCTCTAAGCCTTTTCCGTCAATATCCGTGTTGGTGCAAACAATAACAACCTTCTCTACAGAACCAGACTTAACCTCCAAGTACGAGAAGAAGTATTTGGGAAGGCTGAAATCGGCGTTCTTAGAGTTGCACGAAAATAATTGTTCACTGGTGACCTTCTTGCTTTGTTTGAACTTGGCCTGTAGTAAAACGCATTTGTCGTCCAAATCCAGAACGAGGTCATCGAACTTTCCAGCTTCCTTGTTCTCCGTGGACATTTTCCAGTTTTTCCGGCAACGGAGGGCATTTAGCAAAAACACAGCGAGCAGATTCAGTTGGAATTGAACACCTTCGAGCCCGGCGTTTCCTTTGCTTTTTTTGTACGTGTCTTCCATCCTCTTGGCAGGTGAAAATCCTGCAAAAGAAATAATACGGTGTCACCAATAAAGTCCGCCATTTTGGAACAGCTCACTTTCCTCGCTGTAACTATCTACATATTAAAACCTGATCGGAAGCTGACCGGTGGTGTCAAAATTAGAATGGGTCTAAGGGGTTTCAACTGCCAAAGAAGATTAAACAGAATTTTCTTCTACAGATTTGAACTCCATTGAAAAAATCCATCCCAATTTTTTTCTCAGTACATTCAAAAACCAATTTGCTCTTTGCACTTAGATTTAACGAAAATATTACACACTTACAGTTAAAAACATTAACCAAAGAGTATAGGCATGAGACAAAAGTGAAATAGGATCTAACAAGTTTTTATATCAAAATCTCTCTTAGATCAGGAAATATACCCTCCAGCACAGGTTCCTATAGGTTTGTATTCCTATACCGTAAATTAACAAATTCCCTTTTCAAATAAATAAATTTGTCGAAACAATTTTGTTTCTTCCTAACCTTACAATACCATCACACCAGTTTATATCAAATTTAACAATTTAACGGTTATTGCTTTTCTCATTAATACAAAAACATTTGTTTTATTCATTTTTTTAAATTTAAGTCGAAAAAAAGGACAATTTACACTTTGGTGTTACTAGATTTCAAATAAAAAAAAAGTTAGTTTCCAATGTGTGTTATATTGGGGACATTTTAGTAAAAAATATCGATCCTCGCTCGTTTGTTATTTACTATGTTAATGACTTGTGCACCATTAAATTGGAACAAAGTGTATATTCAATATAAAATCAAATATCATGGATTTTAAAGTAAACATCTAGTGCAGTTCGTTTGCTTATAGTACGGCAACTCGTCAATAAAGGCGCTGCTGTAACAAGAGTTGGCGTAGACAGTTACTTTTTTTTATTAATCCGCCTTAACCTTACTTTGCGTAGCTAGATAAATTTCTAGATAAAGTCGCAGTAGGCTTTACATTTATATCCCAACGACTTTGAAGTGGTGTATTTAGTCACTTTCGTTAGATTACAATTTTGTTTATGGTCGTGAATCTATATTTTAAAATTAAAAGACACATTATTGTGGTCTGACAATAGACATGAATTTTACCTTTTTCTGAGTTGAGATATTCCAAACTTTTAACACGCTCGAAAATTATTAAGTAATTATGAACATATGCTTATGCAAATAATTAAATTTATATAAAAATGATAAAATAAGTAATTATATTTCTGCGTACTTGATACCTAGTTATACAAGGTGGGTCTTTGAAAAGGTACGAACATTAAAAAAGAAGTATTTAATTTTTTTTTAAGTATTTTAAACTCAATTTTATGCAAATGTCTCAATCTAATTAGAATATTTTTCTTTGCATTGACAGCAATGATTTTATAACACGGTAAGTATAGGACCTTCAACTATACAGGGTGTGCCATTTAACACTCCCGCTGCCAATATCTCCGAAAGGAAGAAATTTATTTTAGTTTCGGAAATTGGGGTTGTTAGATTGTCCGAATAGCTTCAAATTTCAGTTAGAATTGTTAGTTCAAATCTTTCTGTATAGATGGCATGGCGTTACTAAGAAAAATTTCGTTCCCTGGAAGGTGGAAATACAGTCCATCTGAAAGATAGTTAGATTTTGAGTAATTTTTGTAATATAAAGTTTTTCCCTACATTTACTTGTTTTCGAGATATGTCGACTTCAATATGCAATGTATGATATAACAGGAAAATCTATTATTTAATTGTCACACCGATACAATATATTATTTTAAAATATTGTTATAATGACTATTAACACTACATACTAACTAACAAACAATAAATTATAACAAAACAAATGATCAACTACAGAAAAAAATTGTACAATGGTAAATAGTATAACTAGTATAGTTAAACTGAAGGACGCAAACTGATAAAACTGTAATTATTGGAAAACTAATATGTGTCATCTGTTATTGTTTTATTTTAAACAAATGACATGAGCCACCTATGACATCATCCATTGCATATTGAAGTCGACATATCTCGAAAATAAGTAAATGTAGGGAAAAACTTTATATTACAAAAATTACTCAAAATTTAACGATCTCTCAGATGGACTGTATTTCCACGTTCCAGGGAACAAAACATTTTTTAGTATCGTCACGTCATCTCTACAGAAAGATTTGAACTAACAATTCTAACTACAATTGGAGCTATTCGAGGGATCTAACAACCACAATTTTCGAAACTAAAATAAATTTCTTAATTTCGGAAATATTGGCAGCGAGTGTTAAATGGCACACCCTGTATACTTCAACTTTCTATAGAAACGGCTATATTTACACCGTATATGAAATCATAAAAAACACGTGTTTTAGTTTAAACACGCTCCCTAATTAAATAGCAAAATGTTATTAGCTGTTAGGCAGTCGCGTTTTGAGCATAAACAGATGTGTACCAGCTTGTTTCATGCAAAAGTCCGGGGAAAAATTGGGGCAAAATTCAGGGAAAAGTCCGAGGAACACTCCGGGAGAAAACTCCGGGAAAGTGTCCGGAAAAACTCAGGGGAAAATCTCTGGTGCTTGGTAGCTGACATGTAATATAAGTTAACAAAAACAAAAATAAGTCAAAAATGGTCCGTTTTTAGAATAAAATGTTTTTTTTTCTTAGAATCACCCCAAGCAGTGACTTTATAATCTTTAGTAAATGTTTAATTTTAATCAGGCAAATCGTTAAATATAATTTCATCAAAATCGGAAATATTTTATAAAATGTTTTTTTCAAATATCAACACTAAAAAATCCTATGAAGGAATAAGCGAAACATAAACCGAAACATCCTGTATAAAGGATAGTGGTTATAAAACATTTGTAAATTCATATGAATTAGACTTTATGGAATTAATACTTTTTTCTATTTGTTTAAAAAATTACTGACATGAAGTTTCAAAACCAATAACAAACTGCTTGAAATATCTTAAAAAATGAGATTGTCTTGAAACAAGAAATAAAAATAAAGGAAATAAAAGTGTAATGAGGCTGACTTGATTAGAAATGTAATCACCCGCACATCCTGTATTCTTACTATAAATTATAATTATGCTTTTTGACCTTGCTTATGGTATGGGACAGTGATTAAAGTAGCAAGTTAATAAATGCCATTAGTAGTAAATATCAATAAATACCTGAGACAAAAGGTTTTCTGTTGAGTTGAGATGGTCTGTTCTTCGCTTTCGAGATTACAATTTGATATTAGTGGCGATAAACTAAGAGAACAGCGAACACTAGCAAATGCGCAAATACATTATACTCTGATTTAGCAACAAAACAAAAACACCAACGTATGTAAATTGCAGGTTAAAAGAACAGAATGTTAGAGATGTGTTGCGACAGATCTACAGTGTTTTGTTATGAGATGAGTGCGTGCGTTTGTGTCAAGTGCACAAACAAAAAGTCATAAGCGGGAGGGATTAGTATCTCTCTTAGTTGAATCATTGTTTTTAGAAGACAAGTTAAACAACCTTGGTAAGTTATCTTCAATTAAATCGAGATGGCAGTGCTACGGAAGTGTATTTATTCATAAATATCTATATGCTTTTACGTTAGAGCATTGTTTTTAGAAGAAAACAATGATTATACAATGTTCTACCGTAAAACCAGGTAGATATTTACATTTATTTATGAATAAACACACTTCATCAGCACTGCCATCTGGACTTCACTGAAGAGAACTATCCAAGGTTGTTTAACTTATCTTCTAAAAACAACGGTTGAATTGAAAGATCAAACGAACTTACCTGTGAAGTTCAATTGTTTCGTTTCGAACAGGTCACTTGTATTTTAACTACGTAGTACACCATTTTCGCACCAGATGGCAATAAGTTTAAAGAAATAGAAAACTTATATCACCCGAGTCCTACTTCAGCCAACAACCTATAGATGTCACCATTATATTTAGAGCCGTTAAAATCTGAAGTAAACGGTCGGACAAAAAAAAATTTAAATTTAATATCCAATAGAATAATAACGATAACAATAATAATCTTTATTCTTTCAAAAATACATAGACGATTTCTATAAGTGTATCTTTATTAGATATTAGGGTTTTGACCAAAGCGTAGATCCCAAGGAAATAATCAGTGAAAAATACTCTCTTTTAACAGCGAGCATGGCAATAACTTGTGAACGAATCCATTTTTGAACAGCTTTATCAAAATTATGGATTACTATTATATTTCCATCATCTCTGAAGTTTCGAAAACATGTTACGTCAGAGATTTGCTTCTTTATTGAATTTTATGTCGGGTTGAAAAGTCAAAGTCAAAAAGCACCTTACAGTAAATAAAATAGTAGGTAAATGGTAAAGCTTTGCATAAGAATTTCGGTAGTTATCCACTTTTACGTCACCTCTCTTATACCTACTATCAAAGTACTCGGCAATTCTCTTTCTTATTACTACACTCAAAGTAGTGGACTTTGTTGAGTTGGACGTCGGGTTGAAAGAAGTAATTGTTAAATGGTCAGGGTGAGCATAAGGGCTTCATGACTGACCCATTTTTTCATCACCTCTCTACATTTCCTTCTTATTCCTATCCTCAAAGTAGTCGACAATTTGGAGGTGACCCTTAGCAAGAGCGAGCTGCTGTGCCATGTTGCCATCTCCATCTCCAATACCGAAATCGGCATCTAGCTGAAGAAGAAATTTGACCGTCTCCAAGTGACCGTTCGAGGCAGCAAAATGCAGTGGCATACGACCGTTCACATCTTTTACATTGACATCGCCACAGGTTTTCGAGAGACTCGAGGCAAGTTCGAGAAGGCACTGGACTGTGTCTAAGTGACCGTTCGATGCAGCTAAGTGCAGTGCGGTCAGGCCGTCATTATCTCCGGCAACAAAATCTGCACCCAATTCAATAAGGAACTTGACAGTATCCAAGTGACCTTTCCAAGCGGAAAACTGCAATGCCGTTCGTCCGTAATTGTCTCCAAAATTGAAATCGGCACCCCGCTCGAGGAGGAACTTGACCGAGTCCAAGTGACCATACGAGGCAGCAAAATGCAGTGGTGTTCTACCGTGAAAATCCCCGGCATTGAAATCTGCGCCCTGTTCCAGAAGGAACTTAACTGTTTTCAAGTGACCATTCCGTGCAGCTAAATGCAGTGCCGTGAGACCATTACCGTCTCCGGTATTGACATCTTGGCCCAGTCCGTGAAGCAACTTCACCGCATCCAAGTGACCGTTCAAGGCAGCGAAATGCAGCGGGATTTGTCCGTTTTTGTCTGCACTGTCGATTCTTGCTCCTTGCTCGGCAAGAAAGTCGATGGTTTCGAAGTGGCCTCTGTTAGCTGCGTAGTGCAGCGGTGTCCGACCAAACAGGTCCCTGATGTTGATCCCGCCCTCCTGCACGATAGTTTGTATAAACACGAGTAAATTTTCATTCTTATTTTGTCTGTTGATACCGATTTTCCCCGCGAGGTACTGGAAAACGTTTTTCTTTTTTAAGGAAATGCGACCTAGCACGTCGGGGATGTCGATTTCTTTGTCTCTGATAATTTTGAAATCCACGCATTTGAGGATGAATTGCAAAATGACTGTATAACCCTCCTGCGCCAGTAAATGAACAAATTTATGGTTACTCCTGTTCTTGTGACACGTGTAGGAGTAATATTTCTCGAAAACATTAGACGGTATGGAATCTAGGACCTCCTTTAGGAAATTGTTCAGAAAAACGTGTACGGTTAGAAATTCGGAGCACTGCAGGATTTTGACGAATAACTCTTGAAATTTTACGTTTGGATTTCGTAACTGAAGTAGCAATTCGCTGACTAGACTTTTAGCCACGAAATATTCCGCGAAAGTCCTGTGAATGAAGTGGATTTTACCGTTTGACTTCTGCACGATTCCTATCTTTAGCATGCTTTCGTTTCTATCTTCACAACCTTCTTGATAACACGAAAAAAGCCGGCGATGTTCCTCGTACAAGATCACATCTAAAGCGAGTATTCTGTGATGAACAAGCATTTCGTCAAACTGTTTATTCAGCGCCCCGTTCGCCGCTGCGTTCCCACACGGATTTCCTTTGTATACGTAGATGTTCCTTTTTTTCTCTATAAACGTATCGTACAATTCCTTAATTACCATTTTCTCTGGCAATTTCAGTTCTGTTCTAGTATCCTTTAAGTACTCTTTGCATCCTTGCCAGACTAATTCTTCCGATTTCGTGTCTTCTTGGAAGATCTCCGCTAGCATTCTCAACTGCAGAGGGATCGCCGTAAAGTCGTCTTCCTTGTCGCCATACCCTTTTGTCCAAGATGTCATTCTGTTTACTAGCGCCCTGGCGTACCGCTCGTACTTTCTTTCATCCTCACCGTCCGTGCCGAGATTGTGCATCCAATAACTAGCGAGAAAGTCCACCTGGTTCTGTTCGGTGAACGGTTGCAACACGAACGGCTTCACCCTCAAAACTTCTTCCAATTTTAGAATCATGTGAGGCCTTGTCGCAACGAAGAGTTTGTCAAAGTTGGCTGCTTGTCGGCACTGCGCCAGTAAGTCGAGAACGAGCTCAGTGTAATCAGGACTGATCTCGTCGATACCGTCGAGCATCAACACGACCTTTTTGTTCATAGAGAACACAAACCTTTCTAAATGGTTCGTCAGTTCTGTCGCCTTTTTAGAATTTAATAGTTTCATTGCGCTTATAGATCCCTCTCTATTGTTTAACGAGTCTCTTAAGATGGTGGTATATTCGGCGAGTTCGATTTTGATCACCCACAAGTGAGGATTTTTGTCTTTTATAGTCGCTGCTAGGTTAGTAAGGACGGTGCTCTTTCCAGTTCCCGCAACGTCCGAGATAAGTATCACGTCTTCGACCATATCATAAATGTCCTCTTCTGAATAAACTTCTTCGTTATTACAGCTCTCTTCATCTAGATTTAAAGAGATTGTCACCTCTCGACATGTTTCTTGCTGCCTTTTAAAGGTACGAGATATATAGTACTGCGAGTTGCGTTCGTTTAGGTCAAAAGGTCGTTCACCCACTTTGATTTCTTTCTTTCTGATCAGCTTTTCTAGGATTTCGGAATTTATAGCCCTCGCCCAAACTTCACGAGCCTGCGTTGCTAATAACTCTTCTAAGCTGACCTGCTTCCCTTGGAAAACTATACGTTGGTCTTTTACTAACCTGTCCTGGCACTCATCTGAGAGATCCTTGAACGACACGTAACCATCGACGTGTGAAATATTCAGTCCAATTTGTTGGCCCAGTCCATCGCTAGAATCGTCCACGAAAATAACTTTTTTAAAACTATATTTCTCCAATACATCCTTTAATTTGTTACTTAATTCCCTTATCGCGGTTTCCTCGGTGATTTTGATCCCAACTATTATCAAAAAGGTGTAGCGGGGAAGTCCAAATGCCTCTACGACGCATTTCTGTTCGTCTACTTCACCGTCCGGATTTACGTACAGTTGCTTGCTTCCCTCGCTTTCTAGAACACCACAAACTTTCAACGCTCGCAACAAACGTCCTCCTTCCGAATTGATTTGGAAAATTCTCTTCGGATCCGCAAAGTCAACGTTGTTATGCTTAAACGACACGTTGTAGTTATTCAATTCTTCGCGGTACTTGTCGCTTTTTATCTCGCTGAACATGGCTCTAGCTCGGTCCTCCGTTAGATATTCACCCTTTGGCTGTTTGAACCAATCTTCTACCTTCTTATACAACTCTTGGGAGGACACCCTACGATATAAACTGGAATTGTTCAGGCGGAATAATAATTGTTCAATAATTTTGTCTAATTTATCCCTGTTCGGGTAACTTGAGAAAAATTGTAAATGATCCAAGAAGTCCTTCATGTTTTCCTCCGTCACCGCTTCTTTTTCAAATCCCTTGCCTTGTAAATTCTTATCGAGGTAAATCTCCACGCTGGTTTTTAAATCAGGCAGGATGTTCTCATTAAACGTAAAAAACTGGCATGGGGCTCCTTCGTAGTGTAGCGTGCTGTCGGGTCCGGTAATGCGACGAGTCAAAAAACCCTTCAGGCCTTTCCCGTCGATATTTGTATTGGTGCAAACAATGACAGTCTTCTCCATGGACTCAGACTTAACCTCGAGGTACGAGAAAAAGTATTTGGGGAGACTGAAGTCGGAGGTCTTAGAGTTGCAGGAAAAGATTTGGTCCTTGTTGATTTTCTTGCTCTGTTTGAACTTCGCTTGCAGCAAAACGCATTTGTCTTCCAGTTCGAGCACGAGGTCGTCGAACTTTCCGGCCTGCTGGTTCTCCGTGGAGATCTTCCAGTTCTTTCGGTTGCGAAGAGCATTCAGCAAAACCACAGTCAGTAGATTCAGTTGGAATTGGACACCGTCGAGGCCGGCGTTTCCTTTGCTTTTTTTGTAAGTGTCCGTCATTGTTCCAGCAGATGAAAACTCTGCACCAAAAGTTATTATTAGTTACGTGGTACCTAGAAAACAACAAAAATATATACAGGATGTTTCGCGTAAGAACAGAACAGGAACATGTAGGGGGAGCCAAAATATGGTGATTTAACGCAACTTGCTGCGACCCTGATAGTCCAATCAAATTACTTTTTCAGGTGGCAAAAAATAGTTCAGTAATTGAAAATATGTAAAAATTATGAAAAATTCTGTAGAATTCAATGAACTACTTTACCCCACCTGAATCTTTGGGCTTCATTTTCAAAATGGCGCCTAAAGGTCGTAAAAAAACAGTTTCTTTCATTTACAAAAAAACTAAACATTTTAGAAAAAAATGTTTCAAACAAAAGTTGTAGGAATTTTTAGTACAGATCGAATAAACTCAAACCAGTTTTGATCGATAAATAAATTAATGAATTATTGCAAAAAAAAATGCTAAAAATCGCAATTTTTTCAAACGGCTGTGTCTCAAAAATAAATATGTGTTTATGAAACTTGGTGAAAGGATAGCTCTTGGTGAGCAAAATAAAATGATTTTTTCAAAATTGAAAAATATTTTATAGTTTTTGCAAAAATCGAATTTTTAGGCCGCCACATCATTAGGAATGGGGTTGGGTTTAAAATTTTCTTTAATAATTACACACAATGTGCAAATATTGTGCGAGCCTTAAATTGATTTCAAATATCGCAAAAAACAATCGAAAAATCGGTTTTCTCTTTGGGGCCATAAAACTTTGATTAAATTTTTGATTTCAATTCTTATCAAAATGTCGATACTGCTATTCGAAAGTTGACATTTTTTCACGAATTTATAGATAGAATGTCCTACGACCAAGAGGGGCCAACAGTATCGAGCGGCTGTATATAGGAAACTAGACGTGCTATGATTATGGGGTAAAAAATCTATTAACAAATACAACCAAAATCAAAGAAATTGATTTTAAATATTTTCAAGTTTGTAACTTCACCGCTAGGGGGGCGCAACTGCTAGTGTGACAGAAAATTGTCGGTTTTTCGAAATTTCGCTTATATCACCTAAGTTGAAAATACATTTTTTAGATACACTGTTAAACCCTTCACAACTTTTGTTTGAACTTTTTTTTTGTTATTGCCATAGCAACGTCAGTATGAAGGACGCTATCCTGAAATTTTTAAATTGTCAACCCTTTGAAATGCTTCAATTGAACTCTACTTACCGTAAAGTTTGTTTATTAAGGAAGTATAAGAAAGGCATTTCATGAATAATAAGTGAGCTGAATAAACGAATTTTATTCATTAACTCTAATCTAACAAAGGCTAACAGACAAAAATAGCCATCATACATAAGATTTTAACAATTCCTGAACACTTTGATTTCATTTGATAGAATTTTTATGAAAATTTTAAAAGTTTATTTGAATTAGCTTCATATCTTTAAAATAAAGTAAAAATACAGGTGCTAATGCTGAAATATATATATTTTAAACAAAATAGTCTAAAGATGATTCGTTTCATTAAGTGATCAGCCATAATATATTTATATACTTTAGAGGTAGATAATTATACATGAGTAAATATGAAGGCGTAATACTTATATTATCATTAGTGATGGGACTACTCGAATGAAAATTATCGATTATATCGATTATGAAAATCTCTCGAGATATCTCGAGTGGTCATATAGAATCATTCGATTATTCGGATACGAATGACAGTGGCCACAGCGTTACTAATACGTGCACTACTCGAGCGAGTGCGCAGATGTTTCGATTGTTCCAACGCTCTAACGAGCTACAACATCTCGAGATAAGACGGCCGAGAGGATAGATGAGACAATCGAATATCACCGACATACAATAAAAAAGGTATGCAGGAATTTTATGAGTGGCATCGCGGGGGGTTAGATGGGAGCTTTATTTAGCGGGGATAAAAATTCATATGAATGAAAATAATACCAAATTATGTTTTCTATATAATTTTTTTTTTCAAAAAAATCCCAAACAATGGACCTCTTTAGGCGGCGACTACTCATTTTAAACACATGCTTATGAATCACTCAACTGGCAACGAAGAAATATGGAAGAAATGCCCCAATCCGCGACAGTCATTCATTTACCTAACGTCAACATGTTTCGCATATGATTTGGGATAGACCGGAAATTTTCAAAGTGAACTTTCGATTATTCATTCGAATGATCATTCGATTATAAAATTAATTCGAATGGTAACCTCTCGATTATTTAATTCATTCGATTATTCCCATCACTA